CTAAAATCTGGGGTTCTATTCCCGTGGTGGGCCGAAAGCAGATAGTTCATCGGGTAGCTTTGTGTTAAAACAACGACAAATTTATTTTATTCTAACCGAAAACAGTTCATACTACTTAAGTATACCGGAAAACAAAATCTCGAGTTTCATAAAAACAATTTAAATTTTGTACACTACCTTTCAACATTTCACCAACATAAACTAAGTTTACTGAGAAATAGGTGTAGTTTGTATTTATGACAAAACTATCTGCAGCCGTCCCTAATTTTTGAGCTGTTATGTCGTCAACAAATGAATGTCGCGTTTTGGAACACTTTCATTACCCCCCCCCCAAAAAAAAACGTACATCACATATATAATAGTTAAACGAACCACCTAAATGTCATGTTAGTGTAGTCTATATAATATATAAAGTTTAGTATACTCTCATTCCTTATAGTGATGATACACGACGAGACACACATTCGGCATGTAATGCTGTTTGAATACAAGTAGGGAAACAACGCCACTGTACCACAAAGAATATGAAAGAAGTTTATGGAAATGCTTTGAACGTTCGTAAGTGCTAACGATGGTTCAGAAAGTTTCGTTCAGGTGACTTTAGCCTTAAAAACTGTGATGGCAGAGGCAGACATGTTGGTATTGATGTTGATGCTCTGAAGACGCTTGTTGGGTTTAGCCCAAGGCAAAGCACTCGTGAAATGGGCGTGAAATTGCATGTCTCTCATGAAACAATGCTTAAACATCTAAGGAATATGGGAAAACTCCATAAAGAAGGTGTTTGGGTGACTTACGAACTCTTCGACGATCATCGTTTCCAACGTGTGAACATTGCTTCGTCTCTTCTGGCGTGTAATGCGCGTGAACCATTTTTGAACAGAATTGTCACCGGTGATGAAAAATGGATTCTCTATGCGAATACTAAACGCCATAAACAATGGCTCAGTCCTAGACAAAAAACCACTTCCGACCCCAAAACTTGGATTTATCCTCAGAAAGTGATGCTTTGCATTTGGTGGGATATCAAAGGAGTAATTCATTTCAAACTCCTCAATCCACAGCGAACTGCCAAAGCAGAGATCTATAGTCAGCAACTGGAACGTTTAAATCAAGCCCTTCATCAGAAACGCCCTTTACTCGTCAATTGGAAAGGTGTTCTTCTCCAAGACAATGCCCGTCCACATGTGGCACGTTTGACTCAACATAAGATTATGGTGTTGGGTTGGG